ACGCTTTGGCGTAAAAAACTTGTCCTATTTTTTGAAAATGTTGCCACTGCGTCCTTCCGAATATGACCTATTTTTTATCAAAACTTCAACTTTGGGCGACATGTTCTAAAATCCCAAAGCTGGGATCAGAAAACTTAAAGCAGTTTTGGAAACCTCAATATGTTTTCTATTTACTCCAAAAGTATTTTCCCAGCCCTGAAAGAAATGTGGACCCTATGGGCAAAAAAGTAAAAAATCCCATTTTTGGGATTTTCATTCCTATTTTTGGGAATTGCGGGATGCCCTTTGACCCTTTCAATTTTTTTTTTTTTGCATTTTCTTATTTGAAATGACAAATTTAACAAGCGTTGAAAATTTCATTGAGTTTTGTTCATAAATAAAGATTTTGTCATATATTACATATTTGTTTAATTTCTAAAACTATGATTTATATAAAAATTTTAATAGGGTCGCAGATAGCTACAACAATTTAGTCCATATTTTAAGTACCATATTTAATAAATCTACAATGAAGATTACATTAAAGTACGAAGAGTTGTGTTCCGTTTCATGGAGAGTATCTTCAAAAGGGCCAGAAAGAATTTAAGACATTTCAAATTATATAAAAACTACATATAGTAGAAAAGTAGACAAAACAGGCATATCGAAAATTGAAAACTTTTTAAAACTTTTTGATGTAAAAAGTAAGTCTGTGGATGGAAATCAAAAGAAATTTCGATTAAAATTTTGTAGTTGGATGGAAACTACTACGGAAATCTCAACTTACAACACATCAACAGGAGCGCCTTGCAAGTCATACGAAGACTTATGTTCAAGGTCAAAAAAAAAGAGGGTCACACAAAAACTTTTTTCAATCTCAAATGAGGAAATTGCTGATACATTTAACGAAATGCTGAAAAAGGAAAACCAACCTATGGATGCCGAACATATTGCAACTATTCTTCCTAATGCATCACCAAAACGACTTAAGCGAATTATGGAAAGTATACCAACTCCAACATCACAATCAAATTTTACTGAAGAGGAAGCAATAGCGCTTATGTTGGAACTGGGTCTCAGTCGAAATAAGTACCAAATATTAAGGAAAGCTCTGCATGAAAAAGGACACAATATATTACCATCATACAAGGCGGTCCAGGAAAAAAAAACAAACTATCCTACCATCACCTATTGCTGTTAATGATGAGGAAGCTTGTATTGATATATCATCTTTGCTCGAAAACACAGCATCAAGAATTGTGTCAGACTTTTCAGAAGACCAACTAAGGAAAATTCATAACTGTGATGTTGTCTTAATGTGTAAGTGGGGATGTGATGGTTTATCAGCACTTCCAGAATACAAACAAGCTTGTGGAAGTCGGACATTAGCAGACTACAAAAGTGTATTTATGTCGTCATTAGTGCCATTACGAATTCGTTCATATTCCCTTAATCCATCATCGTCAAGCATCGGAAATTCATTTGAAGATATATGGATCAATACAACTCCGGGTTCAAAAAATTTTTGTAGACCCATTGGATTTGAATATATAAAGGAGTCAAAGAAAACAACAAAAGATTTAGTGGAATATTTAAAAGATGAAATAAATGCACTGGAGCCCATTTGCATAAAAATAAAGGAATTCTCTATTAACGTATCATATCAGCTAAGCTTAACAATGATTGATGGAAAGGTCAGCAATGCCATAACAGAAACTTCTTCCTTCTGGAGATTCTCAATATGTAATGAGAAAAAGTCGCAATTCTCAAATATAAACAAAAGCAGAAGTATTAATGAAGAAGTCCTGTCTTTCGGAATTGGTAGAACGATTTTGGCCAAAAATGAGTGTTAAAATCATTTTCAGATGGGGTCGATCCTAAAGAAAATTTGTAGATTAGTTTTGGTTCGTAAAAAACTTAAAACTTGGTTAAAAGGTTTTAGTTCGTAAGAAACTTTCTTATACCGAATTTCAACGCTATATTCGCATTTTTGGGCCAGTAATGAGTGTTAAAGTCATTTTCTGAAGAGGACCTTGTACGGGGGTAGGGTCATTTATGGGCCGATCCTAAAAAAAAAATGTTGAGAGATTTTAGTTCGTAAGAAACTTACTTGTACCGAATTTCATCACTATACTCGCATTTTTGGGCCAGTAATGAGTGTTAAAGTAATTTTCTAAAGGGGACCTTATATGGGCGGTAGGGTCAATTATGGACCGATCCTAAAAAAAATTGGTAGGAAGATTTTGGCTCATATGAAACTTATTTATGTTAAATTTCATCGCTATACTCGTACTTCTAAAGCCGTTATGCCCTTTAAAGCTGTTTTTGGAGGTCCACTTGTATGGGGGCTATCCGAAAAAGGACGGTATTTCAGGCGTGACAAACAAAAATTTTATGTTTTTGGAAATGTTATTGACATATCTTTAATCGTTATTAACTCATCTTTTTTCGACCCACCTAAATGTACATATTTTTTATTTTCGGTAAATTTTCTGAGCTTTATTTATTATTTTATATTTTTTATTGAAATATATTTAATATTTTTATTCGTATGAAATAAATACATTTAAGTTATCTGAAAGTGGAATATGTTGGTAAACAATTTTATTTAAAAATTTCGGAATTTCACCACTTCATGCCAGAATACGATTTTTTTCGTGATTTTGAAATTACTTCAAAAATAACTGGAATCGACAAGGAGTTGCTTCGAAGAGTTAACACTATTTTAATGGCACTGAATAGTAAACATAAAATTAATGGAAATCGATTTGGGGAATATACATCTGAAATTTCTAAATTACTTGTATCTCTGTATCCATGGAGGGAACTAACACCAACAGTACACAAAGTATTGTGTCATGGTCAAATAATAATTGAATCGAATATTCTTCCACTTGGAGAGTTAACAGAAGAGGCCCAGGAAGCGAGGAATCGAGATTTTAAGCATGTTCAACTATTCAGCTCAAGAAAATGCTCCAGGCAATCACAGAATGAAGATATTGTTAATAGTTTACTTCTATCTTCTGATCCTGTTCTTTCAACTATGCGAAAAAGATGGATTTGTTATGAAACTCTATCATCTCAAAACAAGGTTGTAAGAATTAATTGTACTAAGTTTAAGATAAACAGTTCAAATAAAAAAAGCTATTATACTAACGGATGATATTGTATTAAATTGTGTTTTATGTTTCGGTGGGCGGGAAAGGTGGTTTGTGTGGGGTGATTTAGGTGTTGTTGTGCGTGGCTCATAATAAAATTATAATTTTTTATTGTATATACAATGTTATAGTCTTTAATAAAAAAATTAACTAAATAATTTTTAAAAATTGTCCAAATATTTTATTCAACACCAAATGTATGTTCTGTCATAGTTAATACTAAAATATGAAAAAGATGAAATTAAAGGATACAGGTTTAAATGAACATATTTTTGAATGTAATTGAGATATTGGCTTGAAATTTTTTGTAAAGGGTCGAGAATTTCCATATCTAACTAAAAAATGATATTAAGGGATAAATATGGACTAAATTGTTGTAGCTATCTGCGACCCTATTAAAATTTTGATATAAATCATAGTTTTAGAAATTTAACAAATATGTAATATAAGACAAAATCTTTATTTATGAACAAAACTCAATGAAATTTTCAACGCTTGTTAAATTTGTCATTTCAAATAAGAAAATGCAAAAAAAAATTAAAAGGTCAAAGGGCATCCCGCAATTCCCAAAAATAGGAATGAAAATCCCAAAAATGGGATTTTTTACTTTTTTGCCCATAGGGTCCACATTTCTTTCAGGGCTGGGAAAATACTTTTGGAGTAAATAGAAAACATATTGAGGTTTCCAAAACTGCTTTCAGTTTTCTGATTCCAGCTTTGGGATTTTAGAACATGTCGCCCAAAGTTGAAGTTTTGATAAAAAATAGGTCATATTCGGAAGGACGCAGTGGCAACATTTTCAAAAAATAGGACAAGTTTTTTACGCCAAAGCGTTCTGCGTAAAGATACCTTTTAGAAAACTATAAAATTGTTATATGTTCTTAAAGAAAATTTTATTTTATTAATAAAAGAGTTAAGACACATTTTTGGCAAAAAAACGGCAAAAATCTAAAATTTTTTGAATTTGTAGATTAAAAAACGTATATTTTTGTATCTGTAAATGATATTGATCTGAAATTTTTTGTATATTATTGGAAATTTTGAAAATTTAGTCCATTTGGTCCAAAATTACGCCCGGTATTCAAAAAAAAGGCGGACCAAGGTATGGTAAATTTTGTATCACTAAATTTTTAAATGCCTATAACTCGGATATTATAAGAGATAAGTAGTATGTCCAAGCATGTTTTTTCAAGATCTCGTCGAGCGCTTTCATCCAAAAATCTTTGTATTTGGATGAAAAACAAAAAAATGGCACGAGTTTAAAAATTTTACATGTCGTAGGTACCCTACTTTGAGCCGCCACAGCGCCGTCCCTGGGGCATCTGCGGGGTTCATCTTCAAAACTTAAACTCGAATACTCCTTGGCTACGCTCACGCCAGATTTATTTCCAAAAAATTTCGACTCTGCCCCACTGTGCAGTGTCGCATACCCAACATTGTCCTCCTTGTTAATGATGAACCTCGTAGTCCTGGTGCCATGCTGGAGTACGCTTGTTACGTGTGGAACGCCTGCGTGGTGATGAAATGTTTTTATTTGGAGTGTCATCAGTATTTGAAGATGTATCGACCAATTCATTTACATTTTGACCATCTGGCTGGAGACTGTCTTGTTGTGGTTGTGCATCTTCAACTGGTTGGTTGAATAATGGTTGTAGATTGTAAGACATAGAATCATGGGGATTCTCATCTATGAAACGTTCATGAATCTGATTAGCATGTGATTTTATAATTCTGTCTGTATCAGCATCCTTGATTTTCACATTATAATTCACATGACCAATTTTCTTGATTATGATGCCTGGACGCCATGTCATCTTATTGTCTTTGTAGGATTTTATGAAAACTCGTTGATTTATCCGAAATTCACGATGACCTGCGCCGTTTTCTGTTATATTGTGCTTTCATTTTTGTGTTACGTGTAACTTTAGGAGAAACTTGTGGTTTTATGAGATCGATTTCCGTACGAAGTTTTCGACCAATGAATAGTTCCGAGGGAGTTTTCCCTTCCACACAATTTGAATTAGGAGTCGAACGATATTGTAATAAAAATTCCTGAAGATATTTGTTATCCTTTGAATCATTTTCATATGCATTTTTAATTGCAGTTTTAATTATATCGACGAAACGTTCTGCTTGTCCATTGCTTTGTGGATGATAAGGTTCTGTCCTTATGTGTTGTATACCTCGTTGATTACAAACTGAACTGAGTACCATTGTCTGATACTAACAAGTCTGGATATCCAAATCTGTTTGTGTAATCCGACATAAGATCAATAATTTTTTTACTGGATATGGTGTTACATTGGTATACCTCTGGCCATTTTGAATATGAATCTACTATGACTAAGTAGTACTTTGAACGAATAGGACCTGCAATATCAATATGAACGCGTTGGAGCGGTTTGGTTGATATTGGCCAGGAACATAACGGTGTCTTTGCTGGTGATTTTGTGTTCGTTTGACAATGTGGACATAGTCGAACAAATTCTTCAATTTGTTGATCAATGTTGGGCCAATAAACATTACTGCGTGCAATTGATTTCATGCGTTGTTGACATTGATGTCCCTTATGTAGAATTCTTAGAACTCTGTTCCTAAATACTTGTGGTATTACAATACGTTCACCAAATAGTAAACAACCGTCGACAACTGATAATGATGATCGGCGATTTAAAAATGGTAGTAGATCGTTGCTAGAAAGATCTTTCGATTTCCTGGGCCACGATGACTGAATATGGTGAAGAACTGCTTGTATGGTTGCATCTTTTTCCGTTGCTTGTAGAACCATATGATGTGTAAGTGGAATTGATTGTAGTTTATCCTTTAAAATTGACTTTATGTCATTGTCGGCCAAACATGCCCCTGCGGGCATTGTGTTATTCTCACTCATACACATGCAATACGAATGTTCTCAGCAACAAAACAAACTATACACAAAACAAAAACAATTTAATTTAGTTGCTCTCTTTATGAAATGAAACACAGAGAATATTTTGAAAAGCCGTTACAAATAAATGTTTGTATAAACACTTTTGATAGATAGATTTATTATGTAAATAATTATTTACAATTATATTTGTATCGTCATTTCTTCAAGCAATTAATCGCCAAAATTTTATCGATTAACGTTTAATCATTTGAACACTTATATACGAACATACATACATACATACATACATATGTACATAAATACATCAACATATTCAATAATACATTCTTACATCAATATATGCATCAATACATCGTTTCGTCAATACATACATACATCGATGTATACATTCCCTCTGTTGTTCATTTAAAATACAAATAATATGAATAACACAAATAAGTACAAACATATAATTTTTTTCAGTGCAAAGCACACATATTTTCATTTATGTTCTCTTTCATATTTTACACTACAACATATGCATTTTAAAAATTCTCTTTCTGGCCACCAATGCTTTATGTTATATTCAAGAGTAGCACATGCAATTACAAAATCTTGATCTTCTGGTTGCATTGATGGTAGTAATCGGGATAACATATCAACGTTACCAAAATCATCTGTTTCGACGTATTCGATATCAAAGTTGTATGTCATCATTGTTAGTGCCCACCTCTGAAGTCTGCTGGCTGAATGAACTGGAATACCTTTTCTTGAACCAAATATTGCCAGTAATGGTTTATGATCAGTCCGGAGTAAAAACTTTCTGCCATATACCATGCGATGAAATTTTTTTACTGCAAACACTAATGCTAGTGCTTCTTTCTCTATCTGCCCGTAGTTCTTTTCCGCTGCCGTCAAAGATCTTGATGCGTGTGCAACTGGCATGATGTGTGAAATTTGTGCTCCTAGACCTTGCATTGAAGCATCTGCTGAAATTATAATGGGTAACTTGGGGTTATAATGAGTAAGCATTAAGTCCGATGTTAAAGTCTGCTTAAACTTTTGAAATGAATTCTCACACTCTGAAGACCAATACCATTTAGTATTGTTTTGTAGTAACTCGTCGAGAGGTGCTCTTAGAGATCTTATTGTGCTGATGAATTTTCCGTAGAAATTGATAGAACCAAGAAATGATATCAGCTCACTGACGTTTTGAGGTCTCGGTAAATTGGTGATTGATAGAATTTTGTCTGGATCTGGTCTGATACCATTAGAATTAACTATGTGACCCAAGTATTTGATCTGCGGTTGAATAAATTCGCATTTATCAAAATTGACTGTCATGCCATATTCTGAAAAACGATTTAAAACATCCCGTATTGATTGTAGGTGCTGTTGTATTGTCTCACTTGCAATGATAACGTCGTCTAAATATACTGTGGCTTCTGGAATGCCTGTTAGAATTTTTTCTATAGCCTGTTGGAATGCACCTGGTGCTGACTTTATTCCAGGAACTAGCCTATTAAACGTATATAAGGCTGGATGAGTGTTGATAGTTAAGATGGACTTTGTTGTGTCATCAACTTCAAACTGCATATATGCGTCATTAAAATCTAGTCTCGTGAAGTACTTACGATTATTAAGGCACATAAAAATATCCTCTGGTAGAGGTAGCGGGTGAAAATGAGCTTCCACATTTTCGTTGAGGCCTGTTGAATAGTCTGCGCATATTCTGATTTTACCACTAGAGCGTCTCACTGTGACTATCGGGGCTGCCCACTCTGAATAGTTGGTTGGTGTAATTACGCCTTCTTCCTCTAATCGATCAAGTTCAGCATCCACTAGGGAGATTACTGAATATGGTACTGGACGTTTTGGACAAAATTTTGGAACTGCATCTGGTTTGAGTGGAAGATGGATTTTGATTTTAGTACAATGACCCAACTTCTTCTCAAAAACTTGAGGAAATTCTTTAGTAAAATTGTTGACGTGATGATCAGCATCTGATTTTCCAACTGACTTGCAAAATGTGGTGATAGGAATTTCCCACAGAACAAATTCTTCGAAAAAATCTGTTCCTGCTATGTTCAGTGAATGAACTGTTGTCACAAAAATTGTTATATATGTTTTTGTTGTATTCAAAAATGAAATGTTCGCCTTGAATTCTCCAATGAACGATTAGCAAACGATTAGCATCCTTTGCAATACGCTTTGTTGAGGTCAATTTGGGGCGATTTATGTTGGCCCATATTTGCTCTGAAAATATGGTAATGTCCGAAGCCGTGTCTAGTTGAAGCTCGACATTATGATTGTTGAGTAAAACATTTACATGTTTACGATGAAACCAGTTATCAATGCTGTTATCGATAGCTCTTGTTTGTGCTGAATTCTTATTAGAATTTGTTTGCTGCCTGTGTGCACTGCACACTGTGCAGTTGCTGATTGTTGACGATTTGTTGAATGTCATTGTTTGTTGTTGTTTTTAACGTTGCAATAACCATCTTTGTGTCCTATTCTATCACATTGCTTACATTTATGACTCTTGTATTAGCAAGTTTTTGAGTAGTGCATAGCGCCACAAAACCAACATGGTGTTGAAGGTGTTTTTGAATCATCCTTATTATCGTTAGAGACGTACTTACTTGTGTGAGTACGAATGGCTTGTGTGTAGACAGCTGTCTGTTGGTTGTTGCCAATCATTTTGGTGTCATGCTGACGTTGAAGTGTACGCTGAATTTCCTGGTTGATAAAGTTACCGGCTTTTCGGGTTTTTCCTCATCCAGCATTCTTAAAATTTCATTGCGGAAATTTGCGTCCTTTGGTGACTGAAGACCACTGACAAAAATAAGACATTTTAAATTGTCCTTTGTAAACTTTTCTAGTAGAAAATTTTCACAGAGGCGATTAACTTTTGCAATATACACCCCGTAGTCTTCAATTTCTGATTTGATGGTTTGAAAACACTTGTACCGGCTGCTGAAAAGTGATTCCATTTTGCCAAACATGTTTTTCATCTTTTCCAATGTTACCTCGAATGAAATGTCTGATGGTTTCAATGGTAACACGACGTCCGCATACTGTTGATACACACTTTGGCTTACTTTTCTTAGAAGCAAGCGTGTTTTGTCTGAGTCTGACAGATTTCCAGCGTCAATTAAAAATAATTCCTCGTATTTTGAATACCAGGAACCAAATGTGTGATTTTCGTCTGGTTCATACCCGAACTCACTAATTTGTTTTGCTAGAATGTCCATGAGTTGTTCTTTGTTGAAAGTGCTTGATGACTGTACTACTGTGGTACCTTCCTCCACTGTTGGGGAATGTGATGGATCGCGATTGCAAATGTTCTGAAATGCCTGCTGCTGAGTGACCATGTATCTCTCTTGGCGTTCAAACATATCGAACTGTTTTGAAGCTGTTGCTGCTGCAGTATAATACTTGTTCAAGTGGTGATGTCGCCATGATAGAATAAAATAAAAAATTACTTTCACAAATATTCTCGTCGCCAATTTGTTGTGACCTTACGGTAATGAAACACGCGTTTTTATATTAACAATATAAAAGTAATAATTATTTATTCAATAAGTAAAAATAGTTTATGCAATAAGTAAAAATAGTTTGTAATTATTTGTTGATCACGACTTGTACACACAGATAGTTAAACAGGTTGATGCAGACTGATGCATGCAGCTTTTTAAAATCGTTAGATTTGAAATAGCGTTGTACAACAGCGTTGCATGTTAATAGTGTTGTATTTTGAACAGTGTCGCATACCCAACACATAACTCATATTTTTAAGCCAGTAATGATCGTTTAAGTAATTTTCTGAAGGGGACCTTATATGGGGGGTAGGGTCAATTATGGACTGATCCACATACAATTTGGTAGAGAGATTTTGGCTCGCGAGGAACTTACATACTTGTATCACATTTTATCGCTATACTCGTATATTTTAACCAGTAATGAGCGTTAAAGTGGTAGGGTAAATTATAGACCGATCCTCCCTAAATTTGGTGGAGAGATTTTGGCTCGCATTAAACTTATGTGTGTCAAATTTCGTCACTACATTCATATTTTCAAGCCAGTAATGAGCATTATAGTCATTTGCAGAGGGGGACCTTATATGGGGGAAGGGTCATTTATTGGCCGATCCAAAAAAAATTGGTACAGAGGTTTTGGCTCGTAAGAAACTTACGTGTGTCGCATTTCATCGCTTTACTCGTATTTTTAAGAAAGTAATGAGCGTTAAAGCCATTTCCTGAAGTCGACCCAATAGGAGGAGTAGGGTCAATTATGGACTTATCCACATAAAAGTTGGTAAAGAGATTTTGTCTCGCGAGGAAAT